ATATACATACACACATATTACATATACATATATATATATATATATATATATATATATATATTATATATATATATATATATATATATGTACATATGTATATGTAATATGTGTGTATGTATATGTGTGTGTATATACTATTATGATCTGCTTTTTCTTACTTTTATATTAAGTTTTTATTTATTTAATTAATTGTTTAATTAATTTTATAAGTGTCGCAAATCATACGTAAAAAAACAATCTCAGGGTGCCATTTTATAAAAATAATAAATCAGCTTAGGTTATACTTATTTTTCTCGTGGCTTCCAGTATCTCTTAATTTTTCTTTCTCGGGATAAAATAGGAAAAGGAAATAATTAGAAATAACATAAATAAACAAATACAAATATATTTTATTATCAAAAGAAATAATATAAATATTTTGAAATATTGGAATCTTTGTTCATATTATGTTTTTGTACAAAAAAATTCTGAATAATATAAATAATATAAAAAGAAACTTTTTAAATTTATTAAGCAATATTAATAGTTATCCTTTGACGTTAAAAAAAAACTTTTATAAAATTTATGGTAATTTAAAATAGCGTAAATTTTTGTTCCTCTGATGGTATAGAGTCTTTTATTTGAAATATACAAAAAAAATTCTGCCATAAAAATTATTGACTGACTTTTTAATTCACACACGACGATGTCTCCTTTCGACCAGAACAGCTCCCCCTTGTTGATTATGTTAGGCTACCAATCAAAGCCTTCTCCGTTCTAAGTATCAACCTATATAGGTCCTGAGACCCATATAATATTATTTTTACTTGTTTTCGCAAATATTTTTAATAGTTATAGTTCTTGTGACTTACTCACTTGGACTTTATAGAATCCAGGAGGTATTCAACTTCTCAACTTTGATCTATCTCTCGTTTTACCTTTCAGCCACTCACTTCTAACTATTAGGAGAGGATGGGGCATTGTGAACCATCTAAGGAAGATATGCACATACTGTTAAACCAGAAATGATTTTGTTTTGTTTAATTAATTAGGGACGTTTATTAAACATTTAACTGTCATTTAGTTGCAATTGAAACATAATTTATTTAACGTATTTTTAACAAAAAAATGACAACTGACTATATGTCAAAAGTTCACATTGCCCCATAGGGTGGGGCAATGTGAACTACTGAGGAAAGTCACACTATGTCATTATCTAATGGCTATGTTTGGTAAATAAAATCAAGTAAAAAGAATTTTTTTATTAAAAATACTTAGAAAACCGGTAACAGAACATTAGTAAAAATAGACACATGTTATATTTATTCAGAAATACAAAATTCACACTGAAATTCTTCATCATCTTCTGGATCTATTCCCGCACATGCTTCAGGAGCCCATTTCGGACAGGCCGAGCAACGTACCCATCCTTCTTCATTGGCTCATGAGGAGAACCAATCGTTAGAGTAAAAACATTCAGCATCTTCACCATTGCCATCATCTTGTACTTGATGGTTACATTTATTTTTTTTCTTTCCCTTACCATCTTTGGAAGGACAAACTTTTATTTTTTTGTTACTTCTTTCACTATCTTCGTGCTTATCATCATTTATTTTTTTCTTAGCTTTTTCTTTTTTCATTGTTTCTATTGCCTCCTTCGTGTTTATTTCAAGTTCTAATTCTAGCTTATACGGACTAGATGTCAGTACAGCCGTTTTACCTTTTTTAGATTTCCTCTTTGGTTCCATTAATTTACTTCTCTTTGGCAGAGGACGAATGTATTTAGGGCTGTTTGCTCCAAATGAAGTTGTTGCTCTATTGTGTGCAGGGGAAATTGTCAATTGAAAATCGTTACCAGTATGAAGCTTTGCAACTGAGGTTGAAGCAATTACCTCATCATGACTTAAGTGAGACTCTGCAGTTGAAGTTGAAGGAATTGCCACATCTTGACTTGACACTGGTAGACTATTATTCTCCAAATCTCTTTCAGTCGTAGCAGATGGTGCAAAATCGAGGTCTGTAAATATATTGGGATCATAAGGTACTATCCCACATTTTTTAAAAGCGTTAATAGCAGTCAAAGGTGTTGCAGCTTGTAAGAAAGCCTCACCAAAAATTTTAGAGATTCGGAAAGCTGTTACCACTCTGCCTGGGTTGTTATTAAGAAACTTTTCTAATGCCATATCATAATATCGTGCTAAAGGAGCCATGACACCAACATCGGTTGGCTGCATTCGATGGGTGGAATGTGGAGGCAAACATATGTACATGTTTTTCCCTAGCCAAATTAATTACTTCTATGTTTTTTGTATGGCTGCTGTGTCCATCCAAAATCAATAAGATCGGATCGTCTTCACTTGGTTTCGTTTGTTGAAGAAAATGTTGAAACCATATTAAAAAGAGTTCACTATTTATCCAGCCACTATCGCTACAGGCGAATATTGAACCTGGAGGTGCACCAGCTTGGAGTTTGACTTTCATTCTCTTTCTTGCAAAGATTAACATCGGCGGTATCAAGATTCCTGATGATGACATGCAAATAACGGCTGTTGTTATTCCACTTCTATCAGCAGAAGTAAGCCGTCCAACTTGTTTCCGTCCTTTATGCGCCAAGATTTTACTATTACATTTGGGGACTGTACCTAGACCTGTTTCGTCACAGTTAAAAACACGCGTTGGATTGACATGTTTAGAATCCAAAGTAGCTTTATACAGATCAAAAAATTGTTTTACATTGTAACGATTAAAAGCTTCAGCTCTTGCAGCAGATGTTGATTCGGGTTTACGTAATGAAAGCCCTGGGTGCCGTTTTCGAAATCCGTACGCCCAATCTAAACCTGCAACTTTGTTTGTTTTATTATATGGATGGTCTATGTTATTTTTTTCGGCTAAATGGAAAGCTAGGTGACGAAGATCAAGCAAAGTAATTCCGTATAAACGCTTCTCCATATCTAAGATATAATTATACAATTCTTCTTCCTGTTCCTTGGTAAAAACCGTTTTGTAGAAACCTAGACCCTTTTCGTCAGGAGAAATTCTTGTTACTTTTTCTTTGCATCTACGAATTAACGTTGCTTTCGGGATACCATAAACTTTACTAGCTTTTAAATAGCCCATCTCCCCAGCTTTAACTGTCCGGATAGCATTCTTCAAGGCAACAAGAGACCAGGATTGTTGCTCAGTTTTCCTCACATAATTTCGTACCATTTCTAACTGCAAAAGAAGCATATATTTAAAAAAGTGTCAAGAAAATATAATGGGGCAATGTGAACCACTCCTAGTCCACGTTGCCCCATGCGTAGTACACATTCAAAATATGGAAATTAACGTACCAGTTCACAACGTATCAAAAGCAAATCTTAATTATTAAAAGCACATTTTACAAGCAACACGACAGTATCAAAAATTAAAATAATCATCTCTACTTACTGAGAAATCTTTAGTCAAAAGTAGTAAATTCCTTAGATCAGCAGCGACGAAACACGTGTTTTTAATTATAACACGTCTGAACGTACTCCCCGTGCGTTCAAACTCATACTAAAAGTAGATAAAATGTCTACGCATATTTGTAGTAGTTACTAGATGCAGTGTTGCCAATTTTAAACAAAATAACCGATGTGGTTTACATTACCCCCATGGTCCATGATGCCCCATCCTCCCCTAACACTACTGGCACTTGCTTTTTAATTGACTATACAAAACTTCAACTGCCTCGTTCGGATGACCATCACGTAATAATCTTTTCTACTCCAAACAGTCAAAACATTCACTCTCTCTATCATCCCCATTCCAAACTCGCTAACCAATCAGAAAATTCCTATATCCCGCCTCTTATTTTACATAAGAAAAACCCAAGCATCGCTTTTAAACAACCTTCTTTGATAACGGTTTTATCTTCAACTTTCTAAATACAATAACTACCTGGTGGTTTTGGCCTTTCCAGCGAAATAAAACCAAAAGTTTTAAAATATAAACTACAAATACCGGGAAACAAATTGTCTATTCACATTTAAAAATTTACTAATGTTTTTCAGTCCTTTAGGGTGAAACTCATTTGAAGGAAGAAACTCAATTTTAGGTGAAACAAATATTGCAAATTTATGTGCCCGCGTTCTATAATAAATTAAAATTTTTATTCTATTTTTGATTGATAAAATGAATCATAACAATACATGTAAATGTATACAATTGGATTTTTTTTTTCAATTCGAGCTCCACCACTATTTTACACATGTTTCGACGTCGGTTCACCTCCGATTGAGAACATTTGTGGTAACTCGAACTGAAATGAAATTCTTTTTATCTTTATGGCCATTATAGTAACATAACATGCCTGAGTACGCTAATAGCTACCTTTATATGAAACAACAAGAAGTCAGAATGATATATTGTCGGAATAAAATTGTATTCCTAACATCGTCCAATAGCTTATGGTAGGCTAGGATTTGCAGTTCACCTTATTCGCCATCGAAGAAAGTTCAAAGTTAGCACTTTATACCTCGAGTTTTTTATGTACTAATTTCTTTTTGAGAAGAGACTTGAAGTATATTTTCATCTGCGAAACGGAAGTTAGATATCTTGACACTGCCTAGATTAACTCTTCCACACCAACCATACAAAACTTTATGCAGTATGAATTCTATATAGATGTCAATAATAAGGGAGATAAAACGCATCCTTGGCGTACTTCTTTTACCAAAATTCATCAATGAGATAGACATCCATCTATTCGAATATACAAAGGATGAAATTAATAATTACTTTATTATTGGGGGTCTAGATATATGAAACTGTGTAAAGGCAACCGACTTAGGAGAATAATCTGGAGAAAATATGTATGAGGTAGTTGCAAATAGTGGCACAAAGACTCACGAAGAATTGTATCCCAGTATAATGAAGTCTAGGTTAATGATAATGATAATGATAATGATAATGACGAATCCTAATTTTGCATTTTATTACAATCAGTTACAAAATTTTTTCTTTTACTTTTTTACATCTCTATTTTTTTTTTTCAGAAAATGACAGCAGCGACGGCAGCTCATATGCCGGAAACTATTAAGCTACAATTGCGCAAACCAAAGAGCTGGCATTGGGAGTTGTCGACTTCGAAATCGTCGCCAAACATCGTACTTCCGGTCATCCAATTATACGATTACAAAGGTCAACTCTTAGTTGAAGCAAAGGATCAAGGCAATACCGTCAGAAATATTTGGGGTTCGAATCTGGGCCTTAGCGAGGATGGTAGAAGTGGAAGTTCGAAGAGGAGCAGACGACTGCTAAGGTCCAGGTAAGCAGGACATTTAGATCATTAACTAAATAATAAAAAAGTATAATTTTATCTACAAAGCATATAAAATAAGTTTAGAATTTAATTTTTTACAGTGTTTCTTATAAACTTTACGGTAAATGGTCACAATTGTGCGCCTTGTATATTGAACTACGAGAATTATGATAAAACTTTCTAAACGCCTTCTGCCTGAAACTTCTCTCATCTTTGCCTCGATAAATCTACCCGAACTAACGGAATTCTTTCTTTTTGCTTTCCGATATCATCCAGAAGCGACACGTCGAATTTTCTAGTCTCGCCGAACACAAAAACTTCCACAGTTTCTATAAATCCGCAAGAGAGGAAACGTCCAACACAAAGAGGCGATAACTCGGAGAAAGTCGAGACTTCCAAAGAAGGTGGAAAGGATCAAAGAAGTTATGCCGTGATCCGAGAAAATGGACGTGGATTTTGGGGACATAGACGGGACAAGGGGGTGGTTGTCGACGAAGGGGTTAGAACAAATCCATTAGAGAAGTCGATGAGTGAATCGTTGGGCGAGAAAAGAGGTAAGTTGTAGTGAGTGTTTGTACAAGTTTCCCGTTACCTAACGGAACTATCTTACTGTACCGTTAACTTTGTTAAATAACAACTTTTATAAGAGATAAGTGTGCTTTAACACGTTTTCCTGAAAAACTATCCCGCCTTCCTGTTATTTTCCCATTTCAAAAACCTTTTACGATGTTTTCCTCATCGATTTCCCCTATCAGCACCGTTCTCCCTACGGAATATCAGACTCATACTATACAATTATTGCAGGTCATTTATCGCTGTCAAAAGGCGTAGAAAGGAGTAAGACGGCGGCGGAAATGGGGGAACGAAGGAGACATCGCAGATCCAAAAGCGACGATCTTTTTAGAAGGAAATTGAGGTACGAGTCAAGTCCTCTTTTTTCTTTTTTTTTGTATTTATTTATTTGGCCCAGAAAAAATATAAATTAAGGTTACAAGATAAAAAAGGGTCTTTTGACCTGTCTGCCTGCCGGTGTGATAATAATAAATCAAAGGTTATAGTAGTATACGAGGTGATTCTACTTTATGAGAACATTTTATAGATACCTGGCATTTTACTCCTTATCCAAATGATTTTTTTTTTCAGTTTGCAGCCACCTTAAATTTTAGTATTTACTCTTTTTTGAGTAGAGTTTTTTTGAATACATGCTGTGATAAAAGAAATTGAATTCACTGTGAGAGTGAATTTAAATAGATATAAAAATACTCGCACAATTAAAAACAAAACCTGGGATACGTGGAATAGATAGCAGTAAAGATTAGTTAGTTATCACAGAATATTCATAATATGAATCATTTACAGACATTAATTGATTAATTGGAAACATATTTACCACGACACTAGCATAGTTTACATCTTAAAGTGCATAGACAGAAACCAAATAATATATTTGGTTCTTAAACGGCCCACAAACTTGTTGTATAACTCAAGCAGTGTTAGCAACACTAGAGTATAGAATTATTACGACACGGCCGCAAAATTTCGGTAATTTTTTAAAAAAAGTATAGTAGATGAGGAAAAATAATCTTTCTTTTCGTTGAAAGCGCATCGAAGACGGGCGCTATTGAAGTGCCAACACTTGAATATTGTAGATTTATCCTTATAAGAATTGTGACATGTACCACGCATCGGAGATGGGCTATTTCGTTACACTGGTCCCCTCTTAGATCTGAGCGTCCCGATCAGCAACTCTACGAGATCATGTAGGCTTAGGATGGCGGAATCTACAGAACTCTCCATCTCTGCATGAACCCCCCAAGAAGAAATAACAGTCTACTGACTTTGAAGGACACAATCTCTTCAAGCGTGTTTCTGACAATCCTTCAATAAACATTTTCTAGTACATGGCCTATCTTGGGTAAGGCCAAATTCTTGATCTCATAATTGCACAAGATTTTCTTCAAATTAGTTAGAGCACGCCATACAGATTGAACGAAATAAATTCGGAACATAGGAATATAATGTATTTCGGCTCAATTCTGCTGTAGGTGGTTGGCCAACAAAATATTGTCAAATATTTATATTATAAAAATCCAATACTTCAGTGGGCTGCTGGATTCTGAACTCATAAAAATTGAAAGCAACACATAAATCTACGATTTATGCTGTCAAACCAGTTATAGTCCAGGAAATGAAGCATTTCACCTCGCAATTATTTCGTGCTCCCTGGATTGACTTGAATTTTAACAGAGGGTAGGTAATAGCCTAAGGATCAAAATCTATATCGAACCAAAGTGCGCCAAAGCCTAGGGGGTGGTTGCCACCCCATCTCCGGGGTGAAATTTTTTTTTACGTTTTAACTACAGGTTTCGATTAAAAAAGTGATTCTAAACAAAAAATGTGCTATACATTTTTTTTATAAAATGATATTTTTCAAGTTATTCGCGATTGAAAGTAATAACTTTTAGACGAAAAAATCCACGTTTTTAATCGATTTTTCGCGAATAATTCGAAAATGGTGCATTTTATCAAAAAAATTGTAGAGAACAAATTTGTAGCTTTTAAAAAGACAAATACAATTCATTTTTTAAAATGTTTTTGGGATATAACAGGAACCGAAATACGGCCTATTAATGTTCAGCGGTTTTCTTCAAATGCCAAATTTGAAAGATTCAAAATCAAATATCGGGAAAATGATGCATTTTTGGAAGAAAACTCACAAAACCTTTTTTAAAGAGCATAAATAGACCTATCATAAAAAAGACTCTAGCTGAAAAATTGAGTGAGTTATGATGAAAATAAGGTCAATACCTCATTTTTTACGAAAAAAATCGATGAAAACAACCCCTAACCACCCCCATAATTAAAATCGATCTTCACCCTTCTGAAATTCCCTTTGTACATGTATTGTTAATATGTCCAAGAAGTTTGACCCATTTAAAATGCTTTGTGTTATAAAAAGTACAGCTTAAAGCGAGAAACGATTTACAATTTCATATTTTTTACCCTTCTTTTTTTAAATATGCCCGAAAATACTGAATATATAAAAAAAATACAAATTACCAAATTGTAGCTTTTTTAATGACTAAAATTATCCTTCATTTAGATTTGTTGTACAATGAATATTTGGCAAGATATAGCCGTTTAAAGCATCGATTTACGATCAAGCACCATCTTTTTCGATCCCTTTAAACTCACCCCATTTAAAAACCAAGGGTTCCAAAAAGATTTAATTCACAGATTCTTGTAGCTCTTAAAAACCTCTACAAATCGTTTTTGAAGAAACACTCTATCGTTAAAAATTAAAGGAAATACGTTAAAAAAAACCAGTGAATTTTTTTCCGGAAAATTTTATTAGTATAGTACAGTACATTTCGGAGCATAGTAATCTACAAAACCGGTATATTAGCTAGTGGGGCGTTATACATTCGAAATTTTAAGCGTTCTTATTTTGAAATCCCATACAACAGAATAAAACATCTGCTCATATGTCTATGGCTTGGCAATGAAAATATTAGAGCAACAGATTGGGGATGGTATTCCAAAGATGGTTTGTTATTACCCGTACGCATGAACAAACAACCTGCACTCGATGAACTTTTGAAAATTATTTTTTGGCAATGCAAAAAAGGATGCGGTGTTTCATGTGGGTGCAGAAAAGTTGGTTTATACTGTAACTCTACTTGTTCTGGGTGCTCAGGTGAAGGGTGCAATAATAGTCCACCAATAATTGAAGATGAGGATGACATAGATCACGATGAAGATGTAATTGATGACGAATAAAATTAATATTACAATTGTTTTACCTATAAATGTAAATATTTTCAACTATTTATGTAAATGTATAAGAATATATGGTGCCTTTTTATGTTGATAAATTTTTTTGTATTTAATTCTACTTTTTTCAATTTATATCTTATAAATTAGTTTATAAAAACTGCAATGTTGTAAAGGGTGATTTTCAAAAGTTGAAAAGTTGCAAAATTTTGGCAAAAAATTGTTTTCACCTATAGCACTCATAACAATTGATTTTTAAGGGTTGAAAATGTATGAATTTGTATTTTAAAGTATAAAAAAATCACTATTTAACTAATCCAAACCAAATTTCACTCATCTTAAGATTTATAATATTATTTTACAATTTTTGAAAATTAGAAGTAGTTTTCACCCCTAAGAACAATCAGGGTTCATCGGCATGACATAAACTATAAAGCAGAGGGTGAGTTGAGCTTAATTCCAAATTTTTATGCAAATCGTTCCAAGGTGAAATCATTTTCTCGCATTACTAATTTTTTTATATTAATCTCTAATAAGGGTCGCTTTTTAAGGGTTGAAATATGATGGAACTTTATTCAAAAGCACGAAACTATCATTATTTAATTAATTCAAACCAAATTTTACCCATATTCAGGTTTAATATGTTATTTTATAATTTTTGACAATTACGGGTAGTTTTCACCCCTTAGAACAATCAGGGTTCGTCGACATGACATAAACTATAAAGCAGCGGGTGAATTGAGCTTAAATCCAAATTTTTATCCAAATCGATCCAAGGCGAAATCATTTTTTTATAATTGGTAATTTTTTTACATTAATCTCTAACAAGGGTTGCTTTTTAAGGGTTGAAATATGATGGAACTCTATTCAAAAGTATAAAATAATCATTATTTAACTAATTCAAACCAAATCTTACCCATATTCAGGTTTAATATGTTATTTTATAATTTTTGACAATTAGGGGTAGTTTTCACCCCTAAAACCCTTCAGCGCACTTCGGTTCGATATAGATTTTGATCCTTGGGCTATCACCTACCTTTTGTTAAAATTTCAAATGGATACATGCAGGACGAAAAAATTGCGAGGTTTTAACTATTTTCGAGCTTTATTTCCTGAACTATAATCGTTTCCTTAGACAAACCCGTCTTATGCAAACAACATTGTTGTGAGACAGATAGTTGAACGATATTTTATACAATGTCTATACCTAGGTATGGATTTATTTTTGTCCGAGTTTTATATTGGTCCACTATTTCAAATGCAGTTCAAACACACATGTATTAAATTGTATGTTCCGTTTTAATTTGGTTCAATCTGTATACTGCCCTGTCTGTGTACGACTTCCTGATCACCATATACAAAAAAAGATCATCTTCTAATCTCAGTACTCTGCCAACTTTAGGCTGCTGATTTTTTAACTCGTCCAAACGACCCAACTTCTTATAAAATACAGATGATATTCATTTAGTCATCTCAAGATCTTGGGCAACACAGTAAGCTAGAGAGAGGTTATGCAGAATACTAAAAAGATCCTGCTGAACTTATGTGGTCACGCCTAGTCTAGCACTCTTTCTCCCTGCGTAATTTGACATAAATTCATTAAAGCTTGATCACAGGTCATCTTTAATCTCATGTTAAAGAATTCGTGCTTCTTCTGTTTTATTTAAGCCAGCATAAGGTGCAAGACGATTTATGTAAACTGCTTTTGGTTTACCTTTCGGCAACTTCTTAATTAGGTAGGTATATTACGTCATTTATTCTCATTTTAATTTCATACTGACCCTCCCATTGTCTTTTCAGTTTAGGAGACAAGCCTCGACGACGTTGTCGATTATAAAGCCAAACAAGATCACCTACTTCATAGCTTTCATTCTTGCATCGAGAATCATATTGATCCTTCATTCTGTCACTGGCTAACTGGATATGTTGTCGGGCAAGTTCATGAATGTTGTTCATTTTTAACTTCAGGCGGTCGACATAATTTTCGCATGCAACATGTTCTTCGGGAGGTTTGCAGCCAAACTCTAGGTCGTAGGGCAAACGAAGTTCACGACCATCAGGCAGGTTGGAGTCTGGCCTGTAGTTTCATTCACGGCCGAGCGGTAGGCCATTAGGAATAAATGAATGTGCTGGTTCATCTCTTTGATGTTCTGATACAACTTTGGACAGCTGTTTACCCATCGTTCGGTTCATCCTCTCGATCATTCTATCTGATTGAGGATGCATGGATGTCGTTCTGGTCTTATTAACACCAATCAATTTACAAACAGTCGGATTATTGGCATGTTTATCGAAGGATCTTCCAACCACAACAACCACAATTACATCATCCAAATAAACCAGGCATGATTTCCATGTTAGATCTCTTAAAACTGCCTCCATTAATCTTTCAAATGTGACAGGGGCATTAGATAAATCAAAGGGCATAACCGTGAACCGCCAAAGCCCTGATCCTATCGAGAATTCGGTTTTTTCTCAATTAACTGGCTCCATGTCTACTTGCCAATATCCAATTTTCAGATCGAGTGTGGAGAACCAACGAGAACCAGAAAGAGTATGAAAAGTATCGTCTATTCTGGGCAAAGGATAACTATCTTTTTTAGTTACCACATTGAGCTGACAGTAGTCAATATAAAACCATGTTGAACCATCTTTTTTCTTTACTAGCACTACTGGTGATATCCATGGAATGTTTGATGGTTCAATTACCCCTTGTTTATTCATATCTTTGATGATATCTTCGGATTCATCTCTTTTCGCAAATGGAAGTCGTCTAAGTTGTTGTCTGATTGGCTGAGCGTCTTTGGTATTAATTTTATGCTTTACTATGCTTGTTTTGCCCATATCCTACTTATCAATGGCAAAAACATCCTGAAGTTCTATTAGTATAGACTTCACTTTTTTAGGTCGTTTATCATCAAGATCTTGGCACGTCTTAATCTCATCAAGTTTCTTTGAATACTTAGATTTCTTAATAGCAGTTCCCTTTAAATTCATAACTCTTACAGGAACGACACCTCGAATTCTCACCAAAGCTTTTGCCTTAAGGAACTCGGTATTGTCCACATCTTCGACCATCCTTAAACTTCCCTCTCGGTAGTAACTATGAGGTCTGGTCATCAAAATTTTCTTACTATTTACTGGGTATTGTTACGTCACGAGTAGTTATTAAGCTGATAACATCTTCTTTGTCTTCATGAAATGACAACTCTTTACTATTGATCTCGAGAACTCCATTTTTGACATTCAATACAGCCCCAACTTTCCTTAGTAAATCCATCCCCAATATGAACTCGTCGGAGATCTCTGCAATTAATACTCTATGTTTCACTATGGTCTAGCCAATGTATACTCACATATTAACCTCGCCATATGTATTAATTATCTCACCAGTTGCTGTTCTAAGCTATAATGTTGCAGGTGACAATTTAAGATGGCTTCGTACTACTTCTGGATGTGCAATATTTCTTGTTGCACCTAAATCTACCAAAAACGATTTACATTTATTATTGATACGACGCTCTATATACAAGCTATGAATTCTACCAAAAGACGTAATGTTCACAGTTACTATGGGGGCTATGTTTCTCGAGGTCGGCAGTTGCCCTGGTGTCGACCCATTCTAGTTTTCCAACATATTGGCTCGCGTCTCTTCGGCATCGTGTTATGAACTACTTTTCGCATCCTTTATATATATATATATATATTATATATATATATATATATATATATTATAGTAAGAAAAAAGAAGTACTTGTGACTCGTTTGGAAAAAATATAAAGCTGTTTTGGATGGGTTGGAGTCAATAAAGTCATTTTTATTGACTCCAACCCATCCAAAACAGTTATATATACAGATTGAACGAAATAAATTCGGAACATAGGAATATAATGTATTTCGGCTCAATTCTGCTGTAGCTGGTTGGCCAACAAAAGATTGTCAAATAATTATATTATAAAAAATCCCATACTTCACCGGGCTGCTGGATTCTGAACTCATAAAAATTGAAAGCTACACATAAATCTACGATTTTATTATGCTGTCAAACCAGTTATAGTCCAGGAAATGTAGCATTCCACCTCGCAATTTTTTCGTGCGGCGTGGATTGACTTGAAATTTAACAGAAGGTAGGTAATAGCCTAAGAATCAAAATCTATATCGAACCAAAGTGCGCCAAAGCCTAGGGGGTGGTTGCCACCCCATCTCCGGGGTGAAAATTTTTTTTACGTTTTAACTACAGGTTTCGATTAGAAAGGTGATTCTAAACAAAAAATGTGCTATACATTTTTTTTATAAAATGATATTTTTCAAGTTATTCGCGATTGAAAGTAACAACTTTTAGACGAAAAAATCCACGTTTTTAATCGATTTTTCGCGAATAACTCGAAAATGGTGCATTTTATCAAAAAAATTGTAGAGAACAAATTTGTAGCTTTTAAAAAGACAAATACAATTGCAAATACAATATCAATGTTTAGCGGTTTTCTTCAAATGCCAAATTTGAAAGATTCAAATTCAAATATCGGGAAAATGATGCATTTTTGGAAGAAAAATCACAAAACCTTTTTTAAAGAGCATAAATAGACCTATCATAAAAAAATAAGGTCAATACCTCATTTTTTACGAAAAAATCGAGGAAAACAACACCCTAACCACCCCCATAATTAAAATCGATCTTCACCCTTCTGCAATTCCCTTTGTAGATGTATTGTTAATACCTCCAAGAAGTTTATGTCTATGGCTTGGCAATGAAAATATCAGAGCAACAGATTGGGGATGGTATTCCAAAGATGGTTTGTTATTACCCGTACGCATGAACAAACAACCTGCACCCGATAAATTTTTGAAAATTATTTTTTGCCAATGCAAAAAAAGATGCGGCGTTTCATATGGGTGCAGAAAAGTTGGTTTATACTGTAACTCTACTTGTTCTGGGTGCTCAGGTGAAGGGTGCAATAACAGTCCACCAATAATTGAATAAGATGAGGATGACATAGATCACGATGAAGATGTAATTGATGACGAATAAAATTAATATTATAAT